CGATACATTGGCACCATACTGTGATCTGAAGGCAAGGAGGTATTTTAAATTAAAAATTAATGAATCATCTTTATATTATTTTTTTATAATTTTGCTCAAAATAAATACCATTGTATTCGCTTCGCTTCGTGTTTTCCCAATATCCCAAGGTTTGTTTCACCAGGAACGCACGAAAATGTGTTGTTTATTGCTTTTATATTATACCATTTTCGCATCCGTGCGTTTACCGGTGAAATAAACAATAACGCCTACGTCAAGTATTCAAAGTCTAGACGATCAGCGATCGTTTACATGGGCTTCCTGTGGTATCACAATCAGCAAACGAAGCAGTCAGTGACAATAGTTTTATTGTGGTAATCGAAGAATTGTATTATATTGAGCCCTAATAAAGTTAATATTACTAAGACTAAAGCAAAAATATTTCTTTTAATGAAAAATAATAAAACAAGCAATGTACTTTATAGCATTAGTAAAGTATAATATTGTGAAAGAAGTATGTTTGACGAGCCACTCCTCGTAAACACAGGTCGATAGTCTTTCATGTTCTTCGCTTAAAATACTTCCAATCATTTCATTTTCCTCAGTATATATAACGCTGTTTGCATTCCTTAGATAGTCTTTTGTGATTGCAGAGCCGTATATAATTCGCTTATTCACGATAGGAAGATTCACGATCAATTCCCTACAAATGCCCTTTCGAAAAACGCTCGACATCATTTAGTGTTTCTATACCGCGAATGACACGTGGCTTTGTAAGAGATTTGAGCGTATTTGTAGTAGCTAGATCCGTAATTTCTATCTCTAATATAAACGATCCTTAAAACTAGGTCCGAAATGGAGCACGAGGCAAGCTTAGAATCGGTTGCTTAGAAACATGAATGACAATAACACAATAGAAAAGGTCCCGGATATACCACTTTGAAGCATGTTGAAGGAAAATCGTTGGTAATTTTAGACATGATCTTCCACAGGAAGCCCATGTAATTAGCGATAGCTATGACAGCTTAGATCAGCGATACATTGGCACCATACTGTGATCTGAAGGCAAGGAGGTATTTTAAATTAAAAATTAATGAATCATCTTTATA